CACGAACCCGTGTCCCCTGCATCGGCAGGCGGATCCTCAACCACTGCGCCACCAGGGAAGCCCAATAATATTTTTTAACTATAAAGATAGGTTATTAAAATATTACATGTCACAACTCTTATAGAATTTACTTATTACAAAATTATTATAGAAGAAATCATTAAGAAATATAAACCAAAGGAAATTCAATTTCCAATAAAGATAAGGGTTTAGTGTCGTCAAGTACTGTTCTAATTGCTTCACATGTATTAAATCACTTGATCCTTTTACTTACCCGAGGTCAGTTAGTGGCAGAGCCAAGATTAAAAATCAGTTTGTTCTAGAGCTTATACTTAATCACTATATTATATAGCTTTCTCCAGTTACACAAATAAAACAATAATAATCACTGCAAAAAGATAAGGTGTAATTTTATTACTTTCAACATTTCTTTTCATCACAATGAACAAAACAAAATAAACTAAAATACAACACAGCTTTACAAAAATAAATTTTTATTAAAAGCAGTAGAGTCTGAGCAGGAGATAGTACAAAGAGTGTAAACAATGTAAACATCACTACATTCAGCTCAGCTTGATTGAATGCTGAAAGATAACTCTAAATGCTCTATGTGCCCTTACTAGCAAGATATGTTAGTTCTACTGTACACAGAAAACACACTCTAATTTTGATTGAGAAAAAGTATTTTATCGAAGTCGGTCCCAGCGCCAAATACTGGCATCATCACAAACAGCTATAAGAATGCTGCTATCCCTGCTAAAACTGGTTTGTCGAATAGCAGCACCACATTTATGATGAGTCAGTGTTGTGCATCTAGGGAGAAAACATGACAACAGGTTAAATACCATGCATATATAATGCTGTCAGTATCTAACTTAAAACGATGAATCAGAAAATGAATAGATGTTCCAAGTCATACAGAAAGCACTTGAAAACAGAATACAGTTCACTAAGAGCCCAATCTCAAATTTCATAAAATTTGGGTATATTTTAAATCCAAGAGGTACCATATAACTTATATTAAAAAAAGAGAAATAACTTATTACCAAAGTACTTGGGAAAAACAATCATTATTAGAATAAAAAAGAAATACTTTACAATACTCCGAGAATGTAAATGTTACAAATGGTTTAAGGATGGCTTTGCAAGTATCAATTACTTCCTCTATGCTGACATAACACTTTGGAGAAAAAGTCAGAAATTATGAAGAGGAATTTCTAAATACTTACTTGGCTTTATGAGGATCTTCTACTTCTAAATCCCAAACATAAAGTTTGCCAACCTGATTGCCCAATGCAAGCATCTGTATGAACATATTAAAAAAAATCAAATTATTAAAATAAGCTATAAAGATTTCAAACAATCCTAAGACATCTTTCTTATTTCAGAAAAACCTCAGCTCCAGCCTATGGCAACGCTCTTGGTTATTTCTTTGCATCTTATATTTCTTATATTGTGTAAATGAGGATAAGAGCAACTAATGCTTCACAAAGATGTCTTGAGTAAAATAAGGAGGTTATTTTGTAAATTTACGAAGAACTTTACAATTTATTTACATAGTCGGCATGTACTCTTTATTATGCCTTAAAGAACTGTAGTAAAAGCCATAGGAAATTTCCAAAGCTTTCATATAGAAATAAATACCCAAGTAATTTATCACAAAATTCTAACACCAAATTTTGAAAAAATTTTAGATAACTAATATTTTGTCTCTATCTTCCACGTTGGTTTTCTATATAAAAAGATTAACACTCTAATCCAAAACATTAAATCTTAGTAACAGATGTTATGGAAAGTAAACACCTAACTGCCACCATTGACACCTGTCAATTTCATTTATAATAAGCACTGCAGATGGTGTGCAGAGCCACAAGGGTAGAATAAATAACATCAAAGGCCAAAGCAATTAATACAAAAAAAATCAAGGTAGATTAAACTTAGAGGTAATAGAATACAGATACACTACAGGGAAAACTAAAATTGCCATGGTTTTAAGTCAAATAATTTCAAAATGTAAAGATATGTTGCTACCTTTTGCCAGAAATCCATAGAAAACCTCATGTACCAAATGTCACACTGGCTGTAATCAAATCGCCCAAGAATAGTCACATTAGACTCACTGGGTTTAATTTTATCTATATCATCTTCCATTTTGCCAGGTTTCCAGCATACAATGGCATTTTCACAAGACTTTAAAAAAGACAGAAATGAGAAAAAAAGAAATGTTAATCAAAGAACTGAATTTTAAACATTAAAAACAAAGCTTTTTCTCTACTATCATTTCAGAACTCACAGCTCTTAGAACCTGGTTATCCATCTACTGAGTCCAGCGATATACATTCATTTATATTTACAGAGTCAGTATCCACACTTACGGACAAGAAGTCTGATTATCAACAGATTTTAACAATACAAAAGCATTACACTGTCTAGAATATTCATTTTTGAAGTCACAATTTCTCTTCCAAACCACAACAAATTCAGCTTTAGATACTTCGGCATCCAGAGACTTGAAGTATTTTATAGCAAAGGGAAAATTACAAACACTGTATTAGAATACACAGCTCTTCAATATGGCCCCTGCTTACTTTGCTAGTTTCATCTTTCCCCATTCCACTTCTAAAGCCCCGTGGTTCCCTTTATATCTGGTTAACTATTAATCCTCCTGTCTGCACTACATGATAGGTGCTCACGAGATGTCATAGGAAAGCTAATGAATTCATAGAAGGGGCCTTAGAGGTCAGATTATACAGAAGGCAATAAAAGCAGTGGTTCAGTTTCAAGACACTGATAAGGGGATGGGATTAAAATAGGCTGAGTTACACCTTCCCTATCCTGAAACACTGAACCTTTACATACATTCTATTTAAGCAGCAAGTGTAAAGAATAGAATGGGAGGAAAAAATGCAAAACAGAGGGCACTATTTATATTCCTGTGTAGGTCAGTGATTTGCTGGCTAAGGGATATTTGGCAATGTCTCTGGCTTCTAGTTAATAGAAGCCAGAGATGCTGAACACTTTGCAATGCACAGAACAGCTCCTCCCACAAAAAAGAATTGTCTTACCCAACTTCCACAGGGCCAGGATTGAGAAATCCTGGTGTAGGTGAAGAATGTCTCCTGGAATTTTACAGGACACAGCCTAAGAACCACATGTGGTAGCTCTGTGGGGTCACAGGGAGATTAGGGAGTGGACAATATGCTTTTTTTCTTCTCTGCCCTTTTTGGATTATATAAAATCCCAGGGATACGGATCTGTTACACAAGTTCTTTATTGTAAAGTATCTTAGAGATCACCTAGGCTGATGACTCTTAACTAAGTACACAGTTGGATTGATATATAGACTGTACAGCTTTCTTTAAAAACTCATCTTGACCCCAACCCTACTGAATCACAAACTCTGAGTGGGAGGCCAAAGCAGCAGAATTGTAAATACTTCTTCAAGTGCTTCCTACTGACTGTACTGGTAAAGGATCCTTAGTCAGTAGAGTTCCCTCATGGAGAACTAAATAATCTCACTAATGGATGGCTCTACTAGAAAATCATCTAGAGAGTTTTTAAACACTACAAATTCCCAGGTCCTTATGCCAGATTTAGAATATCTGGGGATGAAGCCTAGGAATCTATTTTTACAGTGTCCTCCCAATAGTTCTGATGTGGAGCCAGATTTGAGACCACCAATATTCAGTTCAGCTTCCCACCTAAAATGCAGAAATCCTTTCCTATCATCTGATTAAGTCCTAAGAGCAGAAATTTTAGAGCTACTCCTTTTTAAATTCTGCTTCCAAAACAGATGAAGTAGAGGTACTTTTTCCTATTTATCTCGTTAAGTACAGCTTAAAAGTCTGAAGGCTAGGGGGGAGGCAGACTGGTTAGGGGCCCTGGGACATGAAGAACATTGAGTTGCTTGGTTTTCTTTTGCCTCCTTATGTATCCCAGACTGGATGCTAGAGAAGGTAGCAACTCAACAAAGCTAACAAGTGAAGACAAAAAAAAAAAAAAAAAAAAAAAAACCCAAACAATAATGCATCAGTATTCTGATAAGTGAGATGTCAAGTCAACAGTGAAGAAAAAAAAGAAAAAAAAAAAAAAAAAAAAAAAAAAAAAAGCCCCAACAAAAGCCTACTCTCTGCAAAGGACCAGGAAAGTGGCAACCTAGCATGAGAGAAAATTTTCAGGTAAACACTCAACACCACAGAAAAAAACAGTGGACCCATCCACACATGTGGACCAGCAAAGTCCCAGTGGGGTCCCTTCTCAGGTGGTGAGTACACACTTCACGTGCGTAACACGCTGACTCCGCCCTACCCCTCATGGTAGCGAGGTGACCCTCCTCCGCCTCCTCTGCCTGGGGCGGTACTAGAGGAAGCCTAGCAGAGTCAGAATGTTCACAACCACCACCGCTCCCAGTGTCAGTGGAGACCACTCGGGGAGCAGTACTGAGGCCTCCCAACCCCTTTTGCTAGGGTGCTATCACCTGAGGCCCAGTGAAAAGCCTGAACTCCCACCCCAGTAGTAAAGAGACAAAATCACCAAGTCAGCCAAGTGGGGAACCTGAACTTCCCTTGCCACCTGCCAATAATGAGGCAGCACTCCCCTTCCCCAGCTGAAAATTTATCAAAGGAAGCCTGCTTAAATATCAGTAAGATCCAGAGTTTTGTAACAGTAACCAAAATATCGATATCTGAATCAAAATTCATTTGTCATACCAAGAAATGTAAAAATCTCAACTTTAATGAGAAACGATTATCAAGAGATACCAACACTGAGATGACATAGATGTTAGAACTATCTGACAAGGATTTTAAAGCAGCTATCATAAAAATGCTTCAATGAGAAATTACAAACACATTTAAAACAATAAAAAAAAGTCTCAGCAAAGAAATAAAAGATAAGAATCACATGTAAATTTTATAGCTAAAATAAAAAACAACTGAAGGGCTCACCAGCAAAAAAAGAGAGATGAAAGAGTCAGTAAATTTAAAGTTAGAACATAGAAATTACCCAATTTGAACAAAAGAAAACAGACTTATTAAATAACAGAGTCTCAGGGACCAAACAAAAAACATAATATTCACATCATTAGAGTTCCTAAAGGAGAGGGGGAAGAAAGTGGGGCTAAATAAGAATTTGAATAATGGCTGAAAAGTTCCCAATTTTGGGACAAATTATGTCCCCAAAGACAAACCTACTACAGATTCGAGATGGTGAGTGAACCCCAAAAAAGATAAACTCAAAGAAATCAATATCAGGCATATCACATTCAAACTTCTGAAAGCTAAAGACAAAGAAAAAAAAAATCCCGAAAGCAGTTAAGACAGAAAGAACACCTTACCTATAGGAAAAAAACAATTCAATGATGGCAGATGTTTCATTACAAATGACAGAGACCAGAAAGAGGGGGAACAACAGTTTTCAAATGTTTAAAGAAAAGAACCATCAACACAAAACCCTATATTCAGTGAATATATGCTTCAGGAATGAAGGGGAAATGAGGACATCCTCAGACTAAGAAAAACTAAAAGAATTTGTCACCATTCTAAAAGAATGGCTAAAGGAAGTTTGATGAACAGAAAGGAAATGATATAAGAAGGAATCTTGGAATATCAGAAAGGAGGAATGAACAACAGAAAAAGCGTTAACGAGTAAACACAACATTCTTCTTCTCGAGTTTTAAAATTCTGTTTGGCGGTTGAAGCAAAAATTGTAATACTCTTTGATGAAGTTCTCAATTGTAAAGGGAATATTTGAGACAATTATAAGTGGAGGAGAAAGACAGAGGTAAGCTTCCTATACTTCACTTGAAGTGGTAAAATGTTGATATACTGACTGGTCACATATGTATCATATACATATATGTAGTAACACCCAGAGCAAATACCAAAAAAGCTACACAAAGAAATATACTCAAAAGTAGTATAGATAAATCAAATTGGAATTCTAAAATATGTGTACATAGGCGAAAAACCCCAGAGAAATGAAAAGAATGAAAAAAAATTAAATAGTAAACTTAATGTAATAATTGGTAAGTTAAGGCTCAAATATAAATGGTCTGAAAATACTAGCTAAAAGACAGTTTGGCAAAGTGAATTAAAAAAATATGACCCAACTATATGCTGTCTTTAAGAAACTCACTTCGGGGCTTCCCTGGTGGCACAGTGGTTGAGAGTCCGCCTGCTGATGCAGGGGACGGGTTCGTGCCCCAAAGAAAACTGAAAATGTAAGCATTTTTATTTTCTTAAGTTTTTAAAAAGTTACTTTAACGTAATTTCTATCCATTCTGAAAATTTTGGAAAACATAAAAAATGCAAAAAAAAAAAAAAAAGGAAATCACTTCAGGTATAACAATACAGGTAGATTAAAGGTAAAAGGTTCGAAAAAGATGGGACTTGCCTGGTGGTGCAGTGGTTAAGAATCCACCTGCCAATGCAGGAAACACGGGTTCGAGCCCTGGTCCGGGAAGATCCCACATGCTGCAGAGCAACTAAGCCCGTGCGCCACAACTACTGAGCCTGAGCTCTAGAACCCGTGAGCCACAACTACTGAGCCCGTGTGCCACAACTACTGAAGCCCATACACCCTACAGCCCATGCTCTGCAACAAGAGAAGCCACCACAATGAGAAGCCTGCGCACTGCAATGAAGAGTAGCCCCCACTTGCTGCAACTAGAAAAAGCCCAGGCACAGCAACCAAGACCAGAGGCAGTCAAAAATAAATAAATAAACAACAACAACAACAAAAGGTTTGAAAAAGATATACCATTAATTAAAGGAAGGCAGGAATGGCTATACTACTGTAAGACAAAGGATCCATCAAAGCAAAAACTTTACCAGAGACAGAGATGGACCTTACATACTGATAAGAGGGTCAAGCTACCAAGACAAAGCAATACCAAATGTGTATACACCAACCAACAGAGCTGCAAAATGTAACAGAACTGAAAGGAGAAAGGGAAAAAGCCACAATTATAGTTGAAGACTTCAACACTTATTTCTCAATAATTTATTAATTATTAGACAGAATAGTGGACAGAAAATCAACAAAGACATAGAAGAATTCAACCACACTGTCAACTGACAGGATCTAACTGACATTTATAGAACACTCCACCCAACAGCAGAATATACATTCTTTTCAAGCTCCCGTGGAACATACCCAAAACAGCGTCATAAAACAAATCTCAAAAAATTTAAAAGAATCAAAATCATAAAGAGTATATTCTGACCAAAATGGAATCAAACTAGAATCAATAAGAGAACGATAACAAGAAAATTTCCTAGCACCTAGAAACTACACAACACACTTCATATCAAAATTTTTGTGAGATGCAGCTAAAGCAGTGCTGACAGGGAAATTTATAGCACTAAATGCTTACATTAGAAAAGTCTCAACTAAATAATCTAAGCTCCCATCGTAAAAATAGAAGAACAAAAACAACTCACAGCAAACTAAAGGAAAGAAGGAAGACAGGAGATAACAGAAGAAAATTTGACAAACCCTTAAAAAGACTGACAGAAGAGAAGATATAGATTACTAACTTCGGGAAGGAAACAGGGGCTATCACTAGAGACCTTGCAGATATCAAAAGAATACTAAGGGAATACTACAAACAACTCTCCACACATAAATTTTATACTAGATGGAATGGATCAACTCCTCAAATAGCACAAACTACCACAATTCACTCAATATGAAACAGTTCATTCGAATAACCTTTTCACTTTTAAGGAAACTGAGTGTTTAACTTTTAAACTCCTCCTCAAAAATTTCTAGGCCTAGGGGCCAGTATTATTGATACCAAAACCAGACAAAGGCAATATAAATAAGAAAACTTCAGACCAATATCATATCTCATTAATACATATAAAATCTTTAACAAATTATTATCTAATAGAATTCAGTAACATATAAAAAGAATTATACAGCAAGACCAAGTAAGCTTATTCCAGTGATAAAATATTCAGAAACAATCAGTGCAATCCACTGCATTAACAGGCTAAAAAAGAAAAACCAGTGATCATATCAGTTGATGCAGAAGCATTTGACAAAATTTAACACCCATTCATGATAAAACTCTGAAAAAATTAGGCAGAAGGACAGCTCTCAACTTGATAAAGAACATCTACAAAATTGTGAAAGACTGAATTCTTTTGCCCTTTAACATCAGAAACAAGCCTAGGATGTCTGCTTTTAACACAGCTATTCAACACAGGACTAGAAGCTTACCAGTGAAATAAGACAAGAAAAGGAAATTAAGAAAAATATAGTTCAGAAAGGAAGATATAAAAACTGTCCTTATTTGCAGATGAAATTATGATCTATGTAGAAAATCCCATGTAATTAACCAAAAACAAACAAACAAAAACCTTCCTGAACTATAAGTAGTTCAAACAGATTGAAGGATTCAAGATTAATGGACAAAAATCAATTTATTTCTATCTACTAGCAATGAACACAAAGAAATGGAAATCAGAAATACCATTTATTACAGTCACTCTAAATGGAGTGACATACCATAGTCAAGGACCAGAAGACTAAGCAGAGTAAAGATATTAATTCCCGGGCTTCCCTGGTGGCGCAGTGGTTGAGAGTCCGCCTGCCGATGCAGGGGACGCGGGTTCGTGCCCCGGTTTGGGAGGATCCCACATGCCGCGGAGCGGCTGGGCCCGTGAGCCGTGGCCGCTGAGCCTGCGCGTCCGGAGCCTGTGCTCCGCAACGGGAGAGGCCACAGCAGTGAGAGG